AGGCCCCCCGGCCCGAGCGAGGGTGGAAATCCTCCCGGCCTCGACACCCCCGCAACCGCCGCAGCAGCCCGCCGAAAAGACCGGGGGGGAAGCCGCTCTCACGTTTGCTTTCCAGAGGGAGCCTCAAGCTTGCACCCGGCGGCGGCGAAGGGAAAGGCGCCCCCCGGGCTCGCCGCCCCACAGAGCCACGGAGCCCACGAGCCTCTCTTCCTGCAACGGATGCATCCAATTCACCAGACGACGTCCATAGGCACGCACCGGCCTTTCTCTTTCTTGGTTCCCTGCCTTCGCCCCAAGCACGCCGGGAAGTGTAGTTCATCAGCGGCGAGCTACGGAAAGTCGGGAGGGACCAAAGAGAGGAAAAGCTGCGAGCGGCTCCAGGTTTCCCCTGGAAGTTGCGGCTGCGGAGGAAGGATGGAGCGGGACCGCCGAAGCAGCTGCGGCAGCAGCAATAATAATAATATTCATCATAATAGACGTTTATGGATGACAACAATATACTGTAGTATATTATACCATGCTGTATATGACAATAACAACGATACTACATATAATAATAATAATAATAATAATAATAATAATAATAATAATAATAATAATAATACATATAGGACAGCAATATATTGTAAATTATTATAGCATATATTACCACAGTAATAATACATGTATAATAATGAAAGTGCATACATGACAATATATTGTAAATTATAGCATATATTACAATAATAATAGTGCATGTATAATAATGAAAGTACATATATGACCATATATTGCAATATAGTATAGCATCAGGGGGGCAGTGAGGGACAGGAAGGCCGGGCGCAATATGGTTCATGGGGTCACGAAGAGTCGGACACGACTTAACGACTGAACAACAACAAAAATATTACAATAATAAAAATACATATATTACAATGATAATAGTACATATGTAATATTTATTTATTTGCTGAATGTACATAGTCCCCCATCACACGTACGTGACTCTGGGTGGCTCACCCAATTAAAACTCTAGCAAAAGCAGAAAACAGTCGAAAAAACTGTTTAACAACTGTTAACAAAACATTTGAAATATATAATAATATATAT